ATATACAGCTATTAGGGAATTGGGACCCATAATTCATTCTATAGTATGGTATTTTGGGGCCTAATTCCCTAATAGTTGTATATATGGACCCTCTGGGACAGGTATTATTTGGGAGGACCCACCGTGAAATAGTGGTATAACAGGAATATAAGAGGACCTTAATTGAATCCTTATTATCCATAATAGTCACTATTACTGGGTGGCGGGTCCACCTAAGGCGTGATCCTGGACTGGCACATACCGTGAAATAGGGTTTAGGCTTCAGAGTTTTGTGTTTTGGGTTAGGATTTAGGGTGTAAACCCTAAACCGCTAAACCCTAAACCCTATAAACCTATAAACCCTAAATCGCGCCGTGTGGTTGGACTCTGCACTTTAGAGACCTGTTGGAAGAGGCCTTAAAGCAGCGTCGGCCAATGCCCAGCCCGGGCCTCAAACACCTGAACTTTCCCAAAGGGTCCAAGTACTCTCGGTTTAGGGTCTAGGGCTTAGGCTTTAGGATTTGGGGTTTAGGGTAGGGTGCAAAATAATCACATACTCCTCGAAAACCTATACTACAATTACTAGTACCCCAATCCAAAGTACTAATTTTTCAGTACTTGAACCCCAAGGTTTTTGGCTGCGTGTGGATCAGGGACCTCTGTAGGGTTTAGGGTTTGTACCCACTAGGGACAAGGTTGGCCTTAGCCACTCTTTAAGGGCTAATCCAACATCCAGTATGGCAGAGCAGCTAGCCGAGCACAACGCCGGCCATTGCTGGCCCGTAGATGGTCGCCTAAATCCACTACGGGACACAATGTGGAACCATGTCCCGCCGATCGTGATCGTGGATGAAGCTTCTGCCGAATGAGCTCACACAGGGAGGTCGAGTGATCTCAGTGTGGGACTGAAGGCCCCTCAAGGACGACGCATTTGGCGCGTTCAATGCTCATGTTGGACGTCACCACGCCATCATCAATAACCTTTTAGGTTCAAAGTCAGGCGTGCATTACCTGTTGGAGTGTAAGGTCCTGGGCGGCTTCCCAAAACTTAAGTACTGTGGGGATTTGAGATATTGAGTTCGTATTGAGAATTCTCTAGGGATAGCTGTTAGGACTCCCATTCGCACCCGGGCCCTCCTCGGTAGATTCTGTTTACTTTTTGGTTCACGAAGACCCTTGGGGAGCAAGCCGTTGAACAATAAAGGCCCTCACGCGGTTAGGATTTAGGGTTTAGGGTTTAGGGTTTAGGGCTTCTACTAAACATCCTAGAATGCTTCAAGCTCTCCATTTTTGTGACTTACATCGACCCACGCTAAGGACGGCATTGTTTTTTTTTCGAGGGCACACGTATCATATGTGGGTCCCTTTGTGAGATGAAGCTACACCAAGCATGATTTTTGATTTGCAGATTCGAAGGCCCAAGCCCTAACCTACAACCCCCAAAGTATGTAACATAATGGACCCAAACCCAAAAATGACGGCCATCAAGGCCATAATTTTACATACTTTTTGGGTGTTTAGGAACCCCCTAAACTTTACACCCCGAAGGGTGTCCGCGTCTTTTTTTTGGTTATGCAAATGTAGATAGATGTGACTACCTAGACCCTCCAACTACCCGCTGCTTAGGCATGTGTACCCTCCTATAACCCCATTTAGGGTTAAGAGCTTAGGATTTGGGACTCTATAACCCCATTTAAGGGTACCAGGGGGGTATTGATATTGAATGTATATCAGACATGTATTGTATGAGCCCCTGCGGGGCCGTTAAGCCTAAACCCCCTCAATCTCAAACCCTACATGAATATTCAACGACCTACGGTGGATAATCAAAAACACTGGATATACGGGTTATATACGGGTATGTAGGGTTTACGGTGGATACAAAACATCTTGCGTGACCCTAAGTACTTTATACCCCGGGAAGCATGGTAATGCAAGATTTTGATACCCTATCCCTTGGGAATTAGTGTACGATACTATATTAAGGTCATGCAGGACTTTTAGGATCAACAGTAGTAGTTCACGGCACATTCCTTGGAGCGGTGTCAACGCAAAACACCAAGATCCCCGAAGAACGGTCAGTTAGTTTCATTATTGGAGAGTAGGATTTGAAGAGTTGTTCTTCAACATGATCTTTTCAGGGGTCCCTGAACCTTAAGCCGTAACCCCTAAGCCCTAAACCATTTTTCCACAACCCTAGATCCTGAGACCCTAAACCGTGAACTCCTACACTCTAACCCCAAAACCCCAAACCCCAATTTCTATGACCCTAAACCCTACAACCCCACACTAAAACCCCTTAATCGCAAACTCTAAACCCTATGACCCTAAACCCTAAACCATTCAACTTGAACCCCTAAATCCCAAACACTCAACTCTATGACCCTAAACCCCTAAACTCTAACCCCTAAATCCCAAACACTAAACCCTATGACCCTATGCCCTAAACCCCTAAACTCTAACCCCTAAACCCGTTGACCCTAACCCTAAACCCCTAAACTCTAACCCCACAACCCCAAACCCTAAGCAATATGACCCTAAACCCTAAACTTCTAAACTCTAACCCCAAAACCCCAAACCCAAAACCCTCAAGACCTTAAATCCCCAAACTGAAACCCCAAAATCCCACGCCCTAAACCCAAAGCTCCTAAACTTTAAGCCAAAACCCCCCAAACCCTAAACACTAAACCCTAAACCCTAAACCCCAAACACTCTAAACCAAGGCTCATCAAAACCATGCCTGACGGCGTTGATGATGTGGAGAGTACCATCCTCAGTTCATCGAATTGATTCCTAACCCTAAGAGCCCAAGTGCCCAATAGTTAGGCCCCTTTAAAGGGGATATAAATAGGGTTTAGGGTTCAGGATTTAGGGTTTAGGTTTTAGGGTTTAGGATTTAGGGTTTAGGGTCCAAGTACCCGATAATTAGGTACTTGGGTTTGGGTAATACTTATGACAGTACACGTTGATACGTTTTGGGTAAGTATATGATAATTGGATACTTCGACCCTCAGGGTATTCTCCTCCAAAGAACGACCCCAAGAGCGACCCCAGAACTACGCTGGATGAAGCAAATCTTGCACCACCCTCTATGCCCTGTACCATGCGCATTCGAACATTAGAAGCGTTCTGAGTCATAGTATCACAAGCAGTAATTTAGTTGAACCTGCCTCGTGGGGTTCCAACTGCACATGCCACTTGTGTGCAAGCGTATGCACTGCTGCGTACGAAGCGACATGCGGTCTATGAGTCAACATCTGGTTCCCAAATAGATATGTGCATGAAGATGAGAGTTCTCATCAGGATCACCGAACCAAAGAACAACAACGTTGATCCACAGCAAGTGAAGGGCTTTGTAGGATTTGGTCAATGCCAGGGACCACCAGTAGACCTGAGAACAGATGCGGATTCTATCCTAGGATTGTAGTATGCATCCGCCCAAAATGGCCATTATCTTCAACAACTCCCCTTTACTCTGAAGCCCAGAGCCTGTGACATGCGCAAGTGGCTGCATTTCCTTGGCGGGGTATGGGCCTTAAACAAACAAATACCCAACAAAAGGATAACTAGCATTATCGGAATGTCACATGTAAGTTAGGTCTGGGGATTCAAAGTGGCTGTCATGTACTTGGGCCCCTGCAAGTGAGGACCATGTAAATAGCACCTCTTTGTAATTGCTTATCACCTTCTTCGTGACTATCAACGTTCTGTTTTGAATACCGTCCCCATACCCACTGCGAGCTGACGGTTTAGTCGGCTGATCATGGGCAGCGAACTCTTCGCTTGGCTATTAGCAGGGTCCTTGTAGCCTTTCTTGCAATAAAGAAATACAGAACGTATCTAGTAATGCAGCACGATGAATTCAAAACGCTAGGAGGATCACAAGAGAAGCGAGTTTCATCATTTATGCGAAAGCGAACCCAAAGTGGATGTTGGAAGCTCAGCACACATTCCCTGCAGACCCTGTGTCCTAGCTTCTGAATCTATCCACTGGTAACTTTGCATTCGCCAACCTCGCATTCTTGGCCAAAGTTTGTTTGTGCGAGCTAGAAACGCACTGACAGCTGCACAATCACAAGCAAAAGACGTCTAAAAGTCAAAGGTCGGTGACGAACAGCCATGACTCCTCTCTTCCCCAATGACCAGGGCTAAACAAGTTTAAGCTTTATTATAGAGACCCAAAAAGGAAGCCCAAAAAGCTTAAAGTTCTTCTATTGGCTAAGTAAGACTCTCGTTCAGGGCCACGAAGGCCATGTCAGCAGGAGGAGCCGTCCGGTTGTCAAGAATGACGAAGACCTTGGCGAAGTATCAAGCTCGACGAGGGGTTTTCAAAGGATGCAGCATACTCGTGTTCAATGGACGTTCGCTCTACCTCCTAATCCGTAAACCCTAAATCATAAACCCTAAACCATAACACCAAAAGCCTAGACCCTAAACCCTAAACCATGTCCATGTGAACTTTAGGCTTTCTGTTCGGGGTTGGCTCCCCTTCTGAGTTTGCAAACAAACTGCCAAATGCGCAGCGACTGATTTCATGACAAAAACGTGAGCCACGACCATGCTGGCAAGAAGACTCCAGCTACAGAAAGCTTCGCCTCAAGACCCTTACCCAGAGGGTCCAAGTACCCATTAATTAGATACCTCGGTTTTGGGTAATAATAGTTATAGTAGAGGTTTTGCGTGAGTATATGATTATTAGGTACATGAACCTTCAGGGTATCATCCCTGAAAACAGACCATGAACACCAAGACCTGACAGACTAGATGCTTGCAGGCTGCGCTGCTCACCACGGAAGGATCACCAGAAAGAAAAGACTCGGTATAACGAAATCGAGCCCGGACGTTGTCAAGTGTCCTCCACGACCCATCTAGGCATCCTGGTGCAGCTGATTGCAATGAAAGTGGTCAGCACGAAGCTGGCAACTGTAAGTTGTCGGACCCCTCACCACGCATCAGCAAAGGCTGTGACGAACGCACGCCACATGCAACCCTACACAGCTAAGATATCTTCCACATCTTCTTGCTATAGCTCGCAATCCCCATGCCCGTGAACCGCGAACACCAAACCCCAAAGGCCTTCCACACGAAATCCCTTCAGCGGTCGCTCACGAGGGGCGCATACCTTTTCCAGCTCCTGCACGCTATCTGCAAATACGTAGATGGATGAGTTTACTGGGGGCTGTCCGACTTTTCTGTTTATTGTTGGTGCTGTTGGCCTACACCACATCCAGGCTACACCGGTGACTCAGAGGACATGTCCAGAACGGTGCAAAGTCTTGGGATTGGGTGAGTCCTTTGTGCACAGCGCAATGATGTCTTGTCTTGTTTGTATGGTCTCAAACAGAAAGGCGATGCTGCCTCGCATTGGCTGCAGAGCATATACCCATGTTGGTATTTTGTGTCTTTCTGGATAGCAAATGAGCACAACTGAAAAGAGCGCTTGGAGCAGGTGCTTGCTCTAGGCAGGCAACTATACCCACGACGACAGGCGTGTCAAGTGGTCTCTCAGCACAGTCAATAACTGCAAGAATTCAAGTAACACAATTCGGGCGACGTGTCATCTTTATGCAAGGTGCCTTCACTAAGTGAGCGGACGCCGCTTGTGTGGGGACGAAGGCATAGACGCTGTTGAGCGAGTAAGTCTGCATGCCTTGCTGGACAGGTCGTTGCTGGACGGGTGTTAGGGTTTAGGGTTTAGGGTTTAGTATTAATTCTTGGGGTCTTTTTTGGGGTTCCATATTTTGGGAAACTACCATATAGGGGATTATAGATGTAATGATATTTCGATTTTGTTGGACAGCTACGGGACACTGTCAGGGACAGCGGTGAAAGACTATGTGCTTCAAGTGAGTTGAGCTACATGTGACGGGCAGCAAATACCCCAAAAACACAGATGTCAGGTGAAGCAGCACATGGTCCCATTGCGAGCTAACCTAGCTAAGGTACGCTAATATCTGTGCAAACCCTGAACCCACATGAACTGGGATGTCTAAGCAAACCTCGACCCTCAACTTCTGAACAACCAAGATTGGGCGTACACCGGAAAAACTAACACCCCTCAAGCCTGTACAGACCCGACATGCCTAAACTCACATGGCGTAAGGGTCCATGTACCCAATAATTAGGTACTTGGGATATAGGTAATAGTAATTATAGTACAGGTTTTGGGTAGGTATATGATTATTGGGTACTTGGACCCTTAGGGAAGCCAAGTTGCAATCAAGTATAGCGGAAGCTCGCTGGAGCGACTTTGATGTTTTGCTACCTGATGCAGGCTTCTGGCTGGGCTGGTGGTGGTGGTGGTTGGTCTATACCCCAGGGGATCCACGTATATAAATAAAACCTCCATTGGGCCACAAAGTCTGCAAATATTACCTACATTGGGCTCTTTGGATCCCTAGGATACCCTTGAGAAAACCGAAGCAAGTGGAAGTAGAGATGTGTACCCACGGTGTTTTCCACACGTGCACGAGAGCAGAAAGATCAGTAAGGTTTGAATTTTGTTTTACCACAAAAACTTGCCGACAAAACACTCAACGTTTTGCACACGCCTTGCGAGACTGTGTCCAGATGGATTTTGCGCTACCACAAAGACTTGCCGACAAAACACTCAACGTTTTGCACACGCCTTGCGAGACAACACAGCTAAATTCTGTCCAGGTGGAAGATCGATTTCTACCAGCTGCCAAGAAACTTTGTGTTGTTGTATCGCTTCAGAAGACAGCCAAAGACGGCTTTTGTCTGCTTGCCGGGGCAAGCAAAGCTTTATCTCCGGTCCGTAGCTGTCATTGAAGAAGGACTAGATGAAGATAGCCCTGGTTCAAAGGAATCGAGCTTTTTGTCTTTCCTGCTCAAAACCAATTAAAAGTCTTTTGCCTTGTAAGAAACAAGAAGTGTTCATATAATCTTTGTCACATTTCCGTATTCCCTCGTTTGAAGATAACCAGGCAAAGCTCTATTTTTCAGCCTATAACAGCAATAGGAGCACTATTTTAGAACAGTAGTAATGATAATAGTAATCCCAGTCGTAACAATAGAAAACTATTAATACTTGTAGCTGGACAAGTTCGCCTCACGGGGATGCAACTTTGCCTGTCCTGGACTGTTGCGGTTCCTAATATGAGCTATAGTCTCAACTCCTAGTATCCCTCTTACGACCCTAACGTTTAGGGCATGGGGTCTAAACTCCTAGTATCCCCCTTATCATCTACGTAACCCACCTTCACGAGTTTCAACTATAGCTCATATCAGATATGCTCTCAAACTTTGTCAGTCACGCCTTGTCAATTGTAAGAACTACTGGGCCCCCCAAGTTTCTATTTGGATCTCTCAATGCCTCACGGCTTGCATGTGTTATACGAACGGAGGGTTTAGGGCGTAAGGTTCATATAGGGCTTAGGGATAAAGAGCTCTTACCGGTAATTTTCGAGAAAAGCATACGTTTCCTCTGGAAAGCAAACCACCCACTGTGCCTTTTTCGCTTACCTACTACAGGCTCTCCCACATATTTCACAATACAAAGCCAACAGCCTTGCTTCGCATGAAAAAATGGACGTTCTGGTTTGGGCAGAACAGAAAGCGGTTCAAATTTGCTCGTTTTTTCTACTGCTGAGAAAATAAACGCTTTTGACCCAGGTGGAGGACGGAGAGGAACTCCGCTGCTTTTGACAGCAAAACGGCAGCCAAATCATTGCTCACCAAGGGCGCGCATCCCTTGCTCACTCCACAGGCCCTGGTTCCAACAAATATCAATGCCTTTCTGAGGTAGTCAAAACACGAGGTGTGCAGATGACAGTATCGCAAACACCTGCCGGAGAGCGGGACCCTAATTGAAGAGATTCTGGAATTGGTGGCATCATTAATTGTTGGCATTCCACTGGTAATAGGTTCTCAGCCAAATCATTGCCAACGCCTACTGAGGTACCATGCCAAAAGCTGGAAAGGAAGCACCACACCGACCTTGGGGTTCCAGTCCGGAAGGTGAGCTTGTAGACTTGATACTGGGAGCCACGAACAAGTGTGGCTTTAAACACCAATGCACGACGTAAGGATGCGGCACGAGAACTCAAAAGAAAAGACATGGCCACATGGGTCAAGGACGCTACACAAACACAAGACCGAGAATACGAAGACTAAACATGGCTCTCGCTTGTGCATCACTTACAATTCTGCAAGCTTTTCAAAACAGTGCCCTCCGCACTCCCTCAGCCTCGAGCACGAGTTGAGACAAGATCTGGGTGTTCCCCAAAATTAGAGGTACCTTTTTGGTGTTCCTATAAAAAGCCTTATAACTTTTGGGGGTCTATTTTAGGGTCCCATGATTTTGGGAAATTACCATCTGCACCAGGCTGCTGCAGTTGGCCTCCATATCGTACTGCAAGATCTTTATCGGTCTCAGGAGGCCAAGTTGAACAGCAGCAGACCGCGCGAGCCTGAAGACCATCGGTCCACATAGTGTCCTTGGTCGAAACATATAGGACGGTCTGAAACTTATGGGACGAAGCAGCAGAAGCGGCGAGGTGTTGCCGCTATATATCCGCAATGATGACGAATAGGAAATGTGAATGACACAGATACCCCCACGTCTGTATTTTCCATGATACCGCGCACTTTGAAGTGGCCGAGCGCCCTGCGTCACCTCACAGCATTAGCCAGGAGTCTGATTCATTGAAACAATCGCGCATCTTGCTACATCGATGTGGTCGTTCAAGATCCGGCATGTGCAACTGGTGAGGAACACCTTGGCAATAGCCCATGACAAAAAAATGCCAAGGGCCCACGTACCAAATACTTGAGCTTCGGGTATCGCAAATTGTTAAGTATGTACTTGGAGCGCGAGGGCTGGCTCAGGAGCCAAAACATGTCAACACTGGTCAAGGTGACATTGTCCCAGACGTCCGCTCGCAAGTAGCTGAGAGGGTGAGGAATCGAGCATCATTGTTAAAGAAAAGGTCTTGCGAGCTCTTGGTGGGGTTCCGATATAAGTCCTTCGGATACAGCGTGTCTGAGGGGTGCCAAGTTTGAAAGCATCCCAAGTCACACCCGCTAGCACAAAGAAACCATTGCCGCCACCTAACACGGTTCTTGGCCAGCAGAAGATTGTCATCCACAGCGTCTCGATTCACGGCCCCGTTCCTTGAGCAGGGCATGTCTTGGGTGGAGTCGAATACCAACCGCTATACACCAGCAGTCACTAATGTTAACATATCAGTAATAAAGGCGGTGATGATAATATATAGTTTCCGAGCCAGAAATCCCGGAAGACTACACTTGTCATTCTACAGCAACAAGTTCGGAGTCCGAAAAGGTGTGCACAAGGTCCATCGGCAACAATAAGGGGATGGCAATACTAGTATCGTCCGCCCGGGAATTTCCCAATTTCAGCTTTTTAGAGTTGAAATTGTATTTCAATCTGGGCGAATGCAAAACAGGCTCAGCAAAACACAGCTGAACCTTTGGAGTTTGTTGGCATGCAGATTCACGCAGCACGGCTTAATTTCAATGAGGCTCCTTCTTCTTTTAAAGCCAAGCTTAGACTCTCACCCTAAACCCTACACCCTAAAGCCTATTAGAAGCCCCAAGGCCTTGAAGCTACCAGCCTTAGCCTTGGCTATCTGGAAATCATAGGAGCCCCAGCATCAGAGACTAAGGACTTCTTATTACTTCGCGTATGCATAAAGTTATTCCCAGAAGCTTTCAAAGGCGACCCCGACCCCTTATCAAGGCCCTCCCATGACAATGATAAAGGGGCTGGCAATAGTAAACCTCCTTGGAGCAGGTCGGATGTTTAATGAAGCCATGTCTGCCTTCAAAGCCAAGCTTGGAACTCCATTAGAAGCCACAGGGCCTTAAAGCTGCCAGCCTCATCCTGTACTATTTGGAAATCCGAGGAGAAATCTCACCTGCATCATGTGTTCATTATTGCGACCCCGGCGCCTTCCGTAGACCAAAAGCGCAAAACAAGATCCGGGGGGGGGGGATTCTTTATTGTCATGTTGACGTTACAAAAGTTGTTCTATGTGTCACTGTTCTAGTGGTACTTTGCATATACCTAATTTCATAGCCAGGTACATAGGAGGCCTAAACACAAAGCGCACTCCAGCCAGCCAGCACTTGCATCTGAGAACTTCTCTGCGAACCTTTACAGACCTGCGTGGTTCTCAAGCTACGGAGCTAGAACTTCATGCAAAAAGGATGCTTCAACCGCGCTGTCGTCTTCAAGGCATCCTCAATAACCATTAAATCAACCGCGCGCTTGGACGAATCCAGGTCATCCATCGCAGATCGTACATGTCTCACATCATCTTTTTTGCATACGACAACATGGCAATGGCCAGCAGCGACGTTCCTGGGATCGGGATGTCTCTCACAAGTCACAGGGGGAGCTGGAGACGCCGGGCCATAGAGAAATGTAAATGTGCACATGTGCCACAAGCTGACTAAAAATTGTTGGGTTTTGTGGGGAAGTTTATCATTGTACTGAGTGGGGGGATGCTGGATGCCCGTCACCTTGAGTGTACACACAGCGTATTAGCTGGGCAGCGTGCTCCCAAAACCGCTAAACCCTGAACCCTAAACTTTGAAAGCTGCTTTGGGAATGGGAATCTGCAAGCAAGGCTAAGTCCGCAGAAGAATCAAGAAGCTGCCCAAACTCCGCGAGCCTGCTGATTTGCAGCCAGGTTTGATAATGGGCAAGCCATGTTGTCGCAACTGGTCGGCAATAGTGTCGTCACGCGAAATTGCAGCGACGCCCTGCACATTCAGTTGCCCCGATCTCTGTGCTTCCAACCATAACGCGCAGCTTGCTTCGAGATCTGTCCAGCCTTCCACGACCACCAACCTTGGCAAAACACTCGGACTCAGAATTGTTTAGCTGAAGGCTCCAGGAAGGGCAATGAATTAGACCCTCAAATGCGCTTTTGTCAAGCTCCGGCACGGAAGTAAAGGTCACTGATGGGGTCTTATAGCGTTCAGGGGCGTGGAAATTTGAGCTCAATCGTTTTCAAAGGATGTTTGCGCCTCTGCTTTAGGATGCTTCTCTATCGGTGTACTTTCTTGCGAACACTTTGAACAGATGCTGGCATTGACAGCAGCTTTGTTGTTGCAGCTCGCAGTGCCTAGCATGAACCCTCCTACGGTGGATGCCAAAACTCCTGCATGACCCTAAGTACCTTGTACCTTGGGAAATTTCGGTCCTGTAGTCTATTGAGGTCATGTGAACTTCTAGTATCAATGGTATTACATGCCTTTACGTACAAAAACCGTCTGAACTTGCCCTCTCCAATCCAGCATTGAACGCCTCTCCAAGCATTCAACACCCGCTGGCAGAACCTCTGTGGTTCTGATGCGGCGGTTTTTGGGGGTTCCTATAATAAGGATTATAGTATTTGGGGTCTATATTGGGGTCCCCCTGTTTTGGGAAACCCTCATTTATGAAATGCAAAGGATGGCGGGATAGAGTGGGGTGGGCTGCAGGACCTTGGCGTTCGAGTGCAAGGTGCAAACCCCTCTCAACCCTTCTGAGATTCGAGCACACGCTGCAGTCCAACACCGAGGCTTTGCATCATCTTGGCAATCTCTACCTAGGGTTTAGGGTTTATGGTTTTTAGGGTTTAGGGGCATGAGCCCAAGCCATCCTAACATGTGCAGGCGCCTTACAACCCTTGGTATGATCTACACATAATCCGCTTTGAAGGACGTCCCCCTATGTAAACCATAGTCTAACCTCCGAATATGCCCCATAATAAGCCCCATAATACTCATCTATGTAATCCCCTGTAAGGAATTTAGACTATGGCTCACATAGCTCCTGTCTAAGCCTCATCACAGGCCATGGCGATCAGCATGTGATGCTGGTGTACATGTACACCTACGGCTAGGGTCCTTAAGCCTCACAAAGGTCCTAAGGGCATGAATCTGACCCAGAGGGTCCAAGTGCCCAATAATTAGGTACTTAGGTTTTGGGTAATGCTGATTATAGTACAGGGTTTGGCGAAGTATATGATTATTAGGTACATGAACCCTTAGGGTAGCCAAACGACTCCTACGGCCGCGATCTCGGTCCCTTCGGGCATCACCACCACGGCCCTTGATCTCTGCTGCTGGCTGAAATGCCTCAGATGCTTTACCCCTAAGCTAAGGGCCAAGTCTTGGATACGCATGATACTTCTCCAGAACCTGTACTGTGACTATTATACTCAAGTCTCAAGTACCCAAGTATCAGGTACTTAGTTCTCGAAGGGAAGCAAGATCTGAAGTGCGATTGCCTATCTGCAGCGGGACCACCTACATGTCACAAAGTATGGAGCTCTAGAGTCCCTATAGTCCTTCTAACCTGGTATACAAGCACATATGCCCGGCGAAAGGTCGGTTTGGGGCTCTCAAGGTTGGTGCATGGTTCAGGATGTAGGATTCTCACATGCGACTTTACCCAACATCCTGAAAACGCTTGATTGGCAACAACTCCCTACGCCACTCTCGCATACCGGAACAAGCATAGGAGCATTTCCTAGTGCTGACCGAAATGGAAGCGCGAAACATTTCCCACAAAACATGCATCGTCCCCAGCTACAGTCCCCCTTAAATAGATAGAATTTGGGGTTGGGTATATTATAATAAGATTCCCAAATACACCATGTTCTATCTACTTAAGGAGGACTATGCTCTGCAAAAAGGACTTCGAGCCCTGCGCTGTCTTGGCATGCTGCTCGTGGCACTCTGACCTTTGAGCCCAGCACCCCGAACCTTCCAGGGGATATATTGGGAATAAGGGAACCTATTGGGGTTTTATTTGACTAAAGTAGAAACTACTCTTCAGGCACCCCGAGCCGGTAATCCGAACCGGGCCGTCCACCAAAAAACATCTTCAGCTAGATACTCCTGCAAAACCTTTCTACATAATTTCAGACTGCCCCTAAAGCCTGAACCCTAAATCCCAAAGACTTCCACCAAAGATCTCCACTGCAGCGCGCGCCGCCAAACGATGGATATCTTGCAGCTTGGCAACCTTGAGTCCTTGCGGCTCATCATTGGACTGCAACAGGGGCATTTAGGGTTTAGGGTTTTAGGGTTTTAGGCTTTTAGGGTTCAGGCTTTGGGTTAGGATTCAACAGGGGGAGGGGGGTGCTAATGAATCATTTCTCCCGAAGAGTAAACCCTCTTAAGCATAACCCCCCTCCCTTCCCAGAGAACCTGAAATCATGGAGAAGTACTTTGGCAGGATAAGGACTTGCATCTTAAAGCAGCCAGTGAGGATGCCCGGAGAAGTGAGGTCATCAACGATTATACTTATAAAGAAGCTTACCTAAATCTAATCAGAAATCGCATTTAGTTGCTTGGAAGATGGCTTGGTTTTCTTTTGGAAATTAGAATGGAAACCAAACGGGCTCCCACATTCCATTACAATCCAACCTGAACCCTAAGAATGAACTCCCCCAGTGGGTTTGGTATGACGGGAGGGGGGACATTCACAGTAGCAGGTCTTGTAACGCAGCACCCGAGACCAGCCCCATCTGTGTGCTTGCCGGAATTCGTGCCCAGCAGGGCTCGAGATTCGCTGTGTGCGGTCTATAGGGTTTTGATTAAGGTTTAGGGTTTAGGCGCGGAATGCCCCAAGTATTTGCTTCGTTCATGAATTCTGGCAGAGTGTGCACTGTTTGTTCAGTGTTCAAAATTAAAGAAACCTACAGAACTTTGCAACACTTCTCATAAATGCACATTCTGAAGAACGTGAATCGCATGATGAGCACCTCCTTTTGGGTGTTGACCGCTAGATGCTTAAGTATAGACATTGCAACAGACAAACATCAGCGTTTTAGATTAGCGAGTGTCTGACATTGCACGATATGGCCTTTATGTCACAGCCGAGTACAGCGTCCTGCACGTTTGTCAGGCAAGGCTGTGCCAGTGAGATAACTTGCCATCAGTTCACGACTGGACTAGCCCCTAACCCCCAAACTCAAGGCCATACGCCCAACAGCCTAAAACTAAGAACGCCGCCCTCAACTCCCTTACTCTAAGCCCGAATTGCTAAACGAAACCCTGAAGCAGCAGCTCCTTGTAGTTCTGGATACCTGGAAAAATGTCTTGGCAAGATTCCTAGACCATTCACGACTTTAAGCTGCATGATTTTCAGCCCCTACTACGGAAAAGTTCGGGAAGACATACAAGCTAATGATATCATGTCATGATGACGGCCGGGGATTCAATCTACCCAGAGCTGCTTGGTCTTGCCTTTGAATGCTGTATATGAAGCTGCCAAAGCTTCACAAAATCCATATAAGAACATGGAGTTGCGCTATTCTTGTCCCTAAACCCTAAACCCTAAATTGTTTCAGGTGAAGGCTCAGGACTTCAGAGCTAGCCTTATAGAATGATTGCTTGGATCGCAACACTCAACCGGACCACAGACGTCCCAACAAAGGTCTTGTGGCAAAAGTTGAAGAATATACCTAGGCCGGAACCTTCCTGGAAGAGATTGACGGCTTTGGACGTGGGTGGGGGGTTACGAAACCTTTTGGGAACAAGGCCTGTGCTTCTCTTGTCAGCAGGAAGCGGGTGTTTCTCGTAGGGCGCATGACTTGCAGCTTCAGGATTTAGAGTCTCTACATGTCACGTTATGATCTTGGCAGCTCCTGCAGCACGTATCTGCCAAGACCCTAGACTGAAGGAAACCCTAAAAACTACACCCTAACCCAAAACCGTAAATCCTAATCCCTTAATCTTGGTTAGGGTTCAGGGTTTAGGGCTTAGAAATTCCTTAGTCTTGCACCCCTGTGTACCAGCCCTGCTGCCCCTTCACTTACTTTCGGTTAGCTAGGTATGGAGGAATGGATCCTTATAGTAGTTCCTATATGTCATTCATAATACTACTTACCATGTTCTTTTCCATTCCTTCATTCCCAGCTAACCAAAGGTAAGCCCTAAACCCTAAACCCTATAGTAGTTCCCAGTTTCTTTTCCCTTATCCCTATCAAACCCTACATAAACCAAAGGCCAGTAAACCCTTAAGTCAAGAAGGCCAAGAACTGAACCCTAAACCCAAACCCCAAACCCCTAAGTCCATAAACCAAGGCTAGGAACTGAAGGCTCTCCATGGACGACGATCCCGCTGGCGCCATGTTGGACTGCGCCAGCGCTGCGCGTGCCAGGGAAAGAGGCACTGCCTTGCACAGACTTTTTTTAAATATTTATCAGGAGGTTTAGGGTGTAGGGCATAGGGTCTGGGGTTTAGGGTTTAGGCTCTAAGGTTTAGGGATTAGGGTTTAGTGTCTAGGGTT